ATTAAATTTGGTTTTAAAAATAAGAGTTTAATTTGAAAGAATAAATTTCATTGAAGGAAAATTTTCTTATTTTCAATAATGCAGTTGAAGAAAACAATCTACAAAATTTCAAACTTTCGAAGTTTTTAATAATTCAAGGAAAACATTGATATAAGCGACCCTTTACCATCTTTATAATTGTATTTTGCTCTACTATTTAAAATACAAAAACAAAATATTTGAAGCCACTTTTGAGCAGAGTTTGAAACATTTTCAGGAGCTTCACGTTAAGTCCCTCAAAATTCAAAAAAATATTTTTAAAATTGAAGGTCTCGACCCAAAATCAGTGTGTATACATTTGAAATACGAGCGTACCTGAGCGAAAAATCTCTTAAAAATTTCCGCCCTCTTTACTCTCCATTTCCACATAAAGAGGACTTTAATGTTAACTAAACATGTTTATTTGCTTAAAAATGTATTAAGGTAACTTCCAATGTACTTATAAAATATCAAATAAAAATATAAAACAATGCAGTATATGTTTGTAAAACAATTCCATAAAGATTTTATTCAGTATTTTAGACAGATGTTCTCGGAAAAATTCACAACAATTCCTTAAAAGTAACTTACATTTGAAGTAATTATACAATATTCCTTGCCAGTTAGCTTTTCGCTGCCCTAGAGAATCTCAAATATATTAGAAAACCTTTTACAGGATCGGGCAAGTACACCTCTACCAAGTACTTCAATATTATTTAACTTTATTGCCGAACATAAAGTAATAGTGCAACTCAATCGCATAGATTATAAAGTAATTAGTTTTATTTCTCGTACAATTTCATATTCCCGATTGCATATTACATAAACGTTTCAATTGCTACTATTGCATATTCACGTCTCTGAACAGATAAAGTAATATCGAGAGGCTCCTGACCAGTAAAACTGTAATAAAATATCCAAGATCACATTCAGTAGATAATGGTGTGAGAAACGTTTCTTTGAGTGTCTCGAAATTTCATATTTTAAGGCCCGAAATGTTTCGTTTAGGAGTTATTTATCTATGTAGATTTAAACAATGCTGCTCGAGTGTTGGGGTTTGCATTTCACATGAATGTGTAGATGGGTTATTTTTTAAACCAAATCTTCATATTTCTACACTCAAACTGATATGTTAAAAACATTATTTCGGTATGAGAATGTTTCGAAAGGTGTATTTCAGTTAAAATCTCAAAATGGATATACAACAGCATTACATACGTCTTTGTATATTATAATATGTGTACGCCCGTGTACGAGAAAGCAAACTAATAGTGCTACAAAATGGCATTAAACGTTTTCTTACAGTAGTCTTTTTACAGCAGTCATCCAAAGACAGATAAAAGCTGTTTCGTTTTTTTTTTCATTTTCTGGAATCTCTGATAACATTGAAATATCATTTTAAGAATATTACGGAAGGGTCTAGTCCTTCATGCACATTTTCATTGGAAAATGTATAATAGTTAAGAAAGTATCATTTGAACATTTCTGAAAATGCGCATTTTAAAGCTCATTTTCAACCTACATTATCGAGTTTTCCAAAATATTAACGCGAAATAATTTAAAGCACTTCTATTGGCATACATAATAATGTATACAAATCACCGGTAATGTAAATATCGACTGATATGTAGCCGGTATGACCAGAATATACACCGGTAATGTAAATATATATCAAAAAATTACATTTATATATATTTTTGATACATAAGATAAAGCCCTATGGCGTTTCTGTTATCTTGACAGACAAACTGACGGATAGATTGACGGGCGTTTTGAAGAAAACATTTTTTCGGCATCAGGAGATCCCATCTCTTGTACTTCCGTAGAAATCATGAAATCGATTTTTCGCAGTATTACATAACTTCCTCTTTACTACGTATATTACTCCATAAATACGTACGAGACAAGGTAACACAAGCGGTAAGTCTTGAGGTAACTGCTGGGCACAGATCCGCACACAACCTAACCTATCGCTTGGGCATGTCGATCATCTCCTCTTCCGATGTTGATACAAGTACCTTACCAAATGTTTTTGAAGGAAGGTAAGGAAAATAAGGATCAAAGAATAAAACGTACAATCACATTCGTGTCCGCGACCCATTAGAAGGAATGAAACTGTAATGAAGCACTCAACAACATAGCGAAGCTTTGGGAGTCCAAATTTCGATCGTTCAGACCTCAAAAAATTACGGAAATTAATGAGGATTTTCCTTATGAAAGGTTTAACTTTACGAAGCAATAATTACCTCAGATTTTGATAAAATATCACTTATCTGCATTTTCTTTTGAAACGAGAATAATAATTTTAACAATAATTGAATGAAATTACAATTTTAAATATTTTATACACATAAAATTGGCCATTTACCGAAACAGGGTTTGTATAACTCTTCTTATTACTGCTCATGCCTTTTATTACATTCCTATTCCTCTTTAATAGATCAGTGCGATAAAGAAATAGCCGTGAGAATGTCCAATTATTTCAGCGAGTAATGTCTAAAATTTCTTTTGTCAATAAAGTGCCGATGAAGTGCGCGTCTTCATGTTCGTGATATTCTCTTTTTAATTATAATTAGTAAGTGTTCCACGTCAATTAGTTCTGAAAATACGTTATTTTGACGACTTAGTTCCGGTTACCACAATTTATATCACGTAGCGTTCGGATTTATGATGCTCATTTTCAAAACAATGCTATCCCATGGAAAATTTGAGAATTTATTTGATATTCTCAAATTGAGACTAGAGACATCAGGGAGAAGTGGAGATATTTTTGACACAACTGTTTAAAATGACGAAATATAAGATTTCATATTGCCGCAAAGTCGCCTCCTACGCGTCTTCGGAAAAGGTGGGTCGCCTTACCTTTCAGCTAGCTCAGATGGCCTGAAAACAAGGCATGGCGGGTGGACGTTGTTTCTTTGAAATTTAAAGTTATAGAAATGAGGTTAACATCAAGTTTAATGATTCAAACAAGAGTGTTATCAATAATAATGATTATAATAATCCTACTACGAGCTCGTTGGCTTTTCCCCACAATAAAAGCCAAAAGGCTTAACAAATTCTTACGTTTAAGAAAATTTATAAGATTTTCCTCAGATACTCTCTTAGGAGCCAAAGCGCGGCTAAGGATCTTTCCTTTCTTTAAAAGAACAGCACTCGAATTCAAAAGTCCATTTATTTAGACGCTTGAAGGGCTGTTGAGAGCTTACAGCCAAGCTCTTAAAAATACGTCACCATGGTAGCAGCTGAATCCATTGATCCGCTAGGCTGAATGGTTTGCCTCGCTGCAAGGCCTCAGGCGATGGCAGCTCGGCCGCTGCAAGGCCGTAGGGGTCGAAGAAACTTCACAACAGGGGCAAATAGTCAGGACGCAAAGTTTTGCTCAACCGGCCGGGTCAACGCCCTCTAGACAATGATAATCTGGTTTCGACGACAGCAGGCGGCGGTCGCTGCGGTTCTCTATGTCGCTTTCGCGTGATTAAGTCAAGTACTGGTAGCAGATTTTGTTGCCCGCGGTGATTGCAATTCATAAGTCCGTCGGACTTATAACTGCGACGAATTTAATAAAATATTACTCTTTTTCACTAAATTTGTAGCCAAGCAGGTACATAAACTTATCTGGACTGACAACACTGCGGTTCAACAAAATTTCCAAGTCCGAAATCAAAAATAAATTCAACTGACTGCGTGCTGGGGTACGGGCGTGGTCAGTGTTCAGAGGAACATCTCACACTCTCCTATCACTCTTTCTCTCTCTCTCTCTCTCTCTCTCTCTGAATAGGAATCTTTTAAACCTTCCCCCTGCCCGTCTGTTCTAATTTCTTTGTGTCCGCTCGTGCAAGCGACCACAAAAGCCCCAGTTTCCGCCACTCGGAATCCCAGTTCAGAAGTTCTAAAAGTATTTAGACCAATCGCTGAAGACGATTTAAGGGAATTTGGGTGGAAAATTTTCAGGATTCTCTGTCTCTTGTTTCCTCGTCTCGCGCCGTGTTTACAAAAATCATGTGCGAGTTTAGCTGCGTCGCGAAGTTGGCCCTTGCGAACATTATTCTCGCTAATGGCTACTGGATGGCGCCGCAGAGACTCGAAGGGGATGGCTACGTTGTTTCTGGATGGGTGTTTTGTAAAAGATAAGTAAACAGAGCAGCGGCCGGAGAGATTCATACACAAAGGAAGGGTCACAGCTGCGCGTAGCGAATCGGAAGGAGATATCGAGAACTCGTTGAAAAGGTCTCGGTGCGAGAGGGGCGCGTGAGAGAGAAAGAGAGCTCTGTGACTGCTACTATTGGAAAACTATTGGAATTAATATGTTTTTTTAACTATAATGTATTCGGAAACGCCACAAGATGTATAATGAGATAATGAATAATTATTTATTTATTTGTTCAAAACAAAATAATTGTGAGTACCAATTTTGTTTGCAAAATAATAAAGAACTTGATACAGCATTTCAAATAAGTCAAAATATTTTCTTTCATGTATATTCAGTGAGAATCAAATAACTAGAACACGAAAGTGCTCCAGAAGAACTGCTTCATATGGGAGAACCTTGATGAACCATGCTTCGGTGCCAAAGCAATAGACAGTAGGTCGAAAATTTTCTAGAAAGGAATTATCCTATGAAAGAATCACACAATGCGCACTTCCACAAGAACCGAGAGACTTATTGAACGTTAATAAAAAATAATATGCATAATGATAACTTTATAAATGTTATGACATGAGAAAACCCACAGTATTATACTAGATGCTAAAGAGTTGTTGGTGAAAATTATCCTGCAAGTTATTTATTGTGCATTTTATAATGAGTCCGACCTATATTTATATCAAAAGAAACAAACTTGTTTTAAAATGTATATACGAATGTGCTTTCATAAAAATCTATAATATAAAATATCAAAATGGTTTCATTTGCCAAAGTGTCCCTACCAACTTTAGATACTGCAAGATCTGTATCTTAATACAAGATATTTTTCTTACAGGAACCAAAAATGAAGCTGAGTTTCCTCCGAACACCCTTGTGCGAAGATAGGTGAAGGCAACATTCACCTTTCACTCCGAAAACTCCCTACAGTAATTATCTCATCCACATCTCACAATGGACAGGGGAATGAAGGAGGGTTCAGTGACAAAAAGGAAGAGAAAAAGAGAAACTGCCAGAAGAGTTCTTGATGTTTTGGAGGACAAGGCTAAGCAACAAATTGAATGTTCCCAGCAACTCGAACACACAATGAAAGGAATATATTACAGGCTTTCTAGCATTCAAAGGATTTTGGAAAACGATGCATATGAAAAGGATATAAACACACATTATCAGCGATGGTTAAACGAAGATTTCACTCACAAAAGAAAACACTCTCACGAAGTACCGAGAGCAGGTGGATCAGTGAGCGACAAGTTACCATCATGGCCGGCGACTCAAGTGTATCGCGCCACTGTACAGGGCTTTACGGGAGACTTTCCAATATTTTCGCCTCGCAGAGTATCCGGAGATGTACCCCACGTATTCGGCACAAGCGTTTCTTTCGGGGCGAACACGACCGCCGCGCACGGCGTAATGGGCCACGACGTGCAGGAGGTGGTGTCTTTCGGCGGGCGGCCGCAGGAGGCGGGGACGTCGCCTCACGAGAGCCAGTCGGGCGCGTCGGCGCCCGCGCCCGCTGCCGCCAGCGACCTCCAACGGCCGCGCACCGCACCCTGCATGTGCGACCAGAGAGAAGCCTCCGCCAAGAAGCGCCTGCACGACCGCCCCGGGCAGCCGCGCGCCGCCACGCCCGTCCAGCGCGCGCTCGGCCCCGCCGCCCAGTCCTCCCACGCGACGGGGCCGCAGGAGTTCACGGACAAGGAGCTGGAGAGCGCCTTCGACGAGGAGGACATTCCCGACACCGTTCTCGCGCCGAACGAAAGACTGTTCATGACGGAATACCCCGAGTTGGATAAAGACTTCGAGCCCAAACGGGATTACCCTCTTCCTTTCACGCCGGGACAAAACTATCCAGGGAAGTTCTTTGAAGCTCAGGTATTCACGGACAATGAGCTACAAAACGCATTTGATACGGAAGAGATTCCAGACGTCGTGCTAAAACCTAACGAGAAGTTATTCATGTCGGAATTCCCGTCTCTCACCAGCCCCGCCCACTCCTACCAAGCGATGGGGACGGGCCCTTGCCCCTGCGCAGGCACGAAGGTCGTGAAGCGCTCCTGTCCAATGAAGAAGCGGCGTCTCGCAGGGGCCGCGAAGCCCCAGTACTCGGCGGCGACGGTCGCACACGGAGGTGGAGATTCGCAGCAGTTCTCAGACAAAGACCTGGAAAACGTTTTCGACGAGGAAGTCATAGAAGATGTATCGTTAGGGCCGAATGAAAGGCTGTTCGGGACAGAGTATCCCGAATTGAACAAAGATTTCGAACCGAAACGTGATTACCCGCTTCCCTTTACACCCATGCAATATTATTCCGGTAAGTTCTGCGAAGCACAAGAATTTTCCGCGGAAGAACTGGAGAACGCGTTCGACGCAGAAGAGGTTCCAGATGTAACGCTACAACCCAACGAGTGTCTCTTCATGCTTCAATTCCCTTCCCTGGCTGGTGATTGGACTCCCATGGCACCGTCTGCTCGAGCAGCGGTGAGCGCCGCTTCAACAGCCGCAGGCGGCATACTTCCTCCACCACCCGTTTCCGGTGAACTAACATGCGCTTGCGGTAGAAAGATACCTCACCTGGTATGCCCAACGATTAGAACAAGATTAGATCTCCCGGGACAACGGAGTGACGCTGTTGCCCCGCGCCAGATCCCTTCAGCACCTGGCGCTTCGGCAGTCACTGTCACTCAAAAACCCACCACAAAGCCCGGAGAGCCGCAGGTTTTCGACGACAAAGAACTCGAAACTGCCTTCGACGAGGAAGAGATTCCGGACGTGAAGTTGGAACCGAACGAGAGGTTATTCATGAAGGAATTTCCAGAACTGGACAAAGATTTCGAACCAAAACGTGAATATCCACTTCCTTTCACGCCGTTACAGATGTATTCCGGAAAGTTCTGTGACGCCCAGCAATTCACCGAAGAAGAACTGGAGAGCGCGTTCGACGAGGAGGAGATCCCGGAAGTGGAGGCTGATGCGGGCGTCGAGACGCCGGAAGCCGCCGCGGGGCGATCAGTGCCGCCGCCGCGCGACGCCCCGAAGGGGAAGCGCTGCTGCACATGCGGCAGAATGATAACAGGTATAGTGTGCCCCAGCACTCAAGATACAGCATCGGTTGAGGGAGCTGGACCTCAAGCGCGGATGCTTCCACCAGCCACGTACAAAAGCGACGGTCCTGGTTCAGCGGTGACAGTGGCTCAGAAGCATACCGCAGGGTCAGGCGAGCCGCAAGTGTTTGACGACAAAGAACTCGAGAACGTTTTCGACGAGGAACCGTTCCCTGACGTATCTCTGGATCCCAATGAAAGACTCTTCATGAAAGAGTTTCCTGAACTGGACAAGGACTTCGAACCAAAACGGGAATATCCTCTTCCCTTCACTCCTGGGCAGGTCTATACCGGCACATTTTGTGAAGCACAAACGTTTCCTGACAATGAACTCGAGAAAGCGTTTGAGACTGAAGATATTCCGGACGTCCATTTACAACCTAACGAAAGAGTGTTTATGATGGATTTTCCAGCTTTTGCGGGAGACTGGAAACCCACAAGTGCTGTGATGTCAGTTAGAAGCATGGAGTCTGCCGCAAAAGGAGCGCCCCCTACAGCGTCGGGTGAAAGAGCACAACCATCACAAGTACCCAGATGCCGGAATTGCGGTAAGAGATTAGCCAGAATCTGTCCCATGAAGCAAGCTCTGCTGGATGAACAGCAGCTGGGCAGAGCCATATCGCCGCCAGCTGCTTTCAAAAGTGCGCCTGCCAGCTCTGCGGTCACGGTGGCTCAGAAACATCTGGTAGGGGCAGGCGAGCCTCAAATCTTTGATGACAAAGAACTCGAAAATGTTTTCGATGAAGAAACGATACAGGACGTAGATCTGGGCCCTACTGAGCGGCTATTTATGAAAGACTATCCTGAATTAGACAAAGACATGGACTTACCTAGAATATACCCGCTACCTTTCACACCTGGGCAGAAGTATACGGGGAAGTTTTGCGATGCCCAAGAATTCTCCGCTGAAGAATTAGAAAAAGCATTTGATTCAGAAGAGATTCCTGATATTATTTTAGATCCTAATGACAAGTTGTTCATGATGGAATTTCCTTCTCTAGCTGGCAACTGGACGCCAAGAATGGTACCTTCTGCGAAAGTTTTTCCAAAAGGCGGTGTTGCTGGAAGCGCGCAAATATGTTGTGTTTGCGGGAAACCGAAAAAATTCTGATGTTCATTGCCAATATGATGTTAGTTTCACGAGGCTAATAGATATTGCAGCATATTTGAATTTCACGTCTTCTATCCCACCTTTTTGACAATCACTACCACCCTGGTTGAAAACAATAGTTGCCAATTTCAGGCATCAAAGTCTTTTCTTAATTTAATGGGAGAGAGAATAGTAAAAGTTGCGGGATATTCAAGAAATATTGTTTCTAAAAGTGTTTTATTACATCGAACAGCTTATATAAACATGAGTAAAAATCACACCGAAATACTGAGATACAATTTCAAAGCTGATGAAGTGATGAACCGTTAAAATTTGAAGAGTTTTTCAGTCGAACTCCTGCAGATAATACTGAAAGGTAAAAAAAAGTTTGTTAAAAAGGCTGTCGGATGAGTTATAGAGAGAGAAAAAATTTCCCCACAAATAATGGATTCAAGTGAAAAAATAAATCATTGAGAAGTCGAATTTAAAATCTGAGTGCGTTTGGATTTTTTACTCTGTCTTTCCTCTGATGTGCAAAAAAATCGAGAAAGGAGATTTGATAAGCCTCTCAGGTGTTTGCAATAACTAGCGTATAGTTTTAACTCCGTTGGAGACGGTGATGTTTGATGTCGAGTAGAACCGAAGTGCAGACATCCACGCACTTAAATAAGATGTAAGAGTATCTAAGCCAAAAATGAATATTCCTTTGCCTTAGTGAAAGATCGAATTGTCTGTCCTCATTGAACAATGTGAATCTCTCTTACTGTACACTGAACAAAGTAAAATAAAATTTCAATGTGAGAAATTTTTTTTTAGTTTTTTCCTTCAATTTCCTGGAGAAATCCGCAAAGAAGAGATTCCATCGAAATAGCTCTCAGACACATTTGAGTCCTGGATCATCGCACAGTATTTTATCTCGCAACCCGTACCTCTACGCACCTGCTCTTGTTTTGGCAATTTGGTAACAGTATGGAATATATTTGGCATCCCATTCACATTTAACGTACCTCCGACACTGGCGTGCACTCATGTTTCGGGGTGGGGAATGCTGCTCTTCTGGTTGGAAGAGGAATCCTGCCTTTCAGCAGTCTTTCTTTCTCGTTTTATTCATCCTCATGAGAACACACGATAAGGCAAGAAAAATCGCAAAATTGTCATTTTAAGGAACTATAATATTTTATTAACTATTTTTGGTAATTGTTAATTTACTACTGACCAGCTAAGTTTAGCTCGTGTCCAGCATTTCTTTCGTATCTGCAAAGACTATGAGCGGGAGATTCCAAGGTTTGAATTCCGACGGTATTGAAAATATGACTGCCAAGTAGCTAGAATGAATTCAGGCCGCTGTCAGGAGGAGAATTCTAGCGTCTGACTACGCTGATGGGTAGTTTTCCGTGGTTCCTTCGATTATCATCAGGCGAATACCGGATTAGTACTTTTAGAAACGGGCCACGGACCCCGGACGAACGTTTCTTCCTCTTGCTTGTCCTATCCTCACCTATTACACTCACACTTGCGTGAACTACAGTACGACACATTTGGGGAGCTTGAGGACCCAATTTTTGCTGTTTTGAAAATATCTGGAAATATTACTGTGCATAAAGAAGCATTAAAAATGTGAGTTAACGGGTGTATAAAGGCATGAACATAAGTTTTCAATAAACAATCCAGAAATTCATGTAATTCAGACGAATATTTATTTTT